GTGGGGGGGGGGGATGACGGATGGACGCTCATGTTCCCTGTTCTGTTCGCTTGTTAGTGTTGATGAAGCACCCGTGGAATCAGGATTTTCAAGTCGTATACCATCGGTCATAGCTGTCGACATCCGGCCTGAGCGCTAAACGGACTTCAAACAACCAAGTCTGGTATCTAAAACTATTCCAGCAGCCGGGTCGCTTTCGACTTTCTAAGTTTCGTCCTATTTGCGAGGACGAAAGAGACAGGAAAAAGTATACCATAAATTTCTAAGCCTTACCAAGGGGCACAACGCATAAAGCGGCCGGTAGCACAGTCTGGATTTTCAGTTCTTTTCCGGCTTTTCAGTTCATTATTTCAATGTTATACAGAAGTAAATTCAATCAATCCTATCCCATACTGATAACTATAAGGCAAAAATGTCGCTGGCAGAAAAAAGGTTGCTTGTTTTGTATCTTAGGCTGGTTTTGGTTATTTGTGAGCGGTACCCAAAGAGGCACCACTCTGCTTGTTTGGGCTGCTTGAATTTTGCTTCACGTATGAAATGATGATGAAAATGTGCTAAGAAATGTCAGTAAATGTTAATATCAGACAGTTATCGTCATCCAAAATATTTTTTTTTACTTTGCCGTCATGACATTGCATTGGATGCCTTTATATATAATAGTGTGACCCAGTTCTTGCTTCATTACGTTGGTTGAGCCTTAAACTATATAATATAGCAAACTGGGGCAGATCCTAGGACGCCAGCGCTCACGTATCGTAAACGTCGGTCGTGATTTACTAATCTCCAGGCAGACCTTTCCGATAGCCCGTTGGATGGATACTGTTTGGTACATTACTCTCCAAGCAGATGTTTGGGTTGGGGGGTATCTTTAGCGTGTTTTTAGGCTTTTTTTTTATCGGGGTTTCTCTTTTGCACTGATTTTTTTCCTACCAAACCCAAGAAAAATCAGTGCAAAAGAGAAACCCCGATAAAAAAAACCTAAAAACACGCTAAAAATACCCCCAAAACCCAAACCTCTGCTTGGAGAGTATGGTATATTGTATACTCTCTCGGCTACCAATACCTCTGCATCAATATCAGTAATTTGCTATTTCACTGGATTCAACCGTAATTGTTTTATGTGTGTTTTTGTGGCATATAGAACGTCTTTGTCAGAATGAATAGTGCACCGTTTTTACTCTTCGTTCCCTCCAAAATAGATGCATAACTAAAGGTACGGACCAAGTGCCACAAAGAGCAGTGCATAAAACACTGAGCCTGAGGTGGATCTAAATACATATGTTTGAAGATATATTTTCCGATCTGTAGAAATATTACTCTGTCATGAAAAGCCACCATCAACAAACCTTTCAAAGGGGTTGTGCATAGTAGAATTCGGCAAAAATAAGAGATAACTGGCCAGGAGAGTGAGCCTGCAGTCAGGGCAACATTTCCCCTGTTATTATATAAAATGGTAGCCAAACTGCTCACTGAGGGCCTGCATGGGGTTTACGAATTACGCAAAATTTTCGCCGCCGATTACGAATTACGTTAACGTCTCAGAGCTGATTACGACTTTATGCTTATCGGCTTGTCCTATTACGAATTACGTTGATTTTTGCGGAGGCTGCTTACGAATTACGAAGTCTAGTATAAAAAAGGCCTGATTACGCCTTACAAAAAAGGGCATGCAGGCCCTCTTCAATATTTTCAGTCCCAGTTGGTGAAGACTAGAGTCATCTGATGATCGCTACCGTTTTGTCCAGCAGAGATGTCTACCTGATGTCACTTCATACGTTTATCGTATCCAGACGAGGGGATCATTTATTCATTCAGCCTGCTTGGCTGTTACCAATACTGTACAATTTCTCTTTTTTGCGAGGACTCAATTTTGCTAAAGAATGGGAATGAGGCTTTTGCTGTGCTTTCAGTTAGCGTTTGAAATGATTATGTTGTACAGCAGTAAAGCAATAAAAATATACTTGCGGTGTCATGAATTGACGGTGGATGGAAAATAAAGCCGCCGCGAAGATTTTAAGACTTACAGTATTTAGATTACGCGCGAAAGTAGGTCAGTAGAGTGTGTGGGAGTGGGGAGGGGGGCGACAGATGTCATTGCCGCCACCTCGGGTCCCCAAGGTCATATCTACTCATTCTAGCCGTACCAGGCCTTGAGTTTTCCCGACAGTCAATTTCGGATAAATCAAGAGTCGGGAGAAAAGACGTGGCGCATTTGATGTTTCCGACGTTCGGCGGGATTTATGTATTTGGGCCACCAGGATGGGGAAATTCTGAGCACGCCTGACGCTTAGGCCACACCGACTTAATTTTATGGGTGACATCCTCTGAAGACCCCAAACTAGTGCGCGCGGGCGAATTAAAAAAAAAAACTCTGGTGAATTTGTGGCAGTACATAGCGACGTATACAACAAGCCGGCACATGCTGGCGTTTTTGTGTAATTTATGAATCGGCACTGTACGTACATTTGTATGTTCTTGAGTCGTGGAGCTTCGGTAACCTGGATGCCATCCTTTGGAGTTACAGCGTATACTACCCAGGTCTACAGCCTGGCCAGAGCCTCGGAGGACGTAGTCTTTTTTTTTTGACAGGCGAAAATCAATGCGCGCGAGAATGTCATCCATAAAATTAAGTCGGTGTGGCCTTAATAGTACTAGCCTGACGGCATCAACAGTCTAGATCTATGCGGGCGGTTTCCGCTATCTGCTTGCAAATAAAACAGGGCTGATACTGATACAACCTCCACCAATATTAATAACGCTGGCTGGCAAACATAGCGAAATTTTAGCCTAAGGAAAGTACAAATCATTCCCTTGGGCTTTGTGCAGGAGAGTAAGATTTTTTTTACCTGGAGAGTTTGTAGCCTGGTTACCAAACCTATTATAGCTCCCGACTCCTACATCCTCTCCTCTATTTGCGGAGAGGATGTAGGACTCGGGAGCTATAATAGGTTTGGTAACCAGGCTAGGGAATTTGCCCATCTCTAGAATTTCATTTGGGAAATATTACCCCAAATAGTGGGGGCTTACTCTCCAGGCAAATTATTCACCGAATTTTTGCCGAATTGTACCATCCGTATCCCCTAAGCAAGGCCTGGTGGAGGCTTCTATTTCTGTGGAATTCTGCAGTCCATAACTCCTTAGGAAAGCCTGGTGGAGGCTACTATTTCTGTCGAATTCTGCAATCCGTAACTCTTTAGGAAAGCCTGGTGGAGGCTACTATTTCTGTCGAATTCTGCAATCCGTAACTCTTTAGGAAAGCCTGGTGGAGGCTACTACTTCTGTCGAATTCTGCAATCCGTAACTCTTTAGGAAAGCCTGGTGGAGGCTACTATTTCTGACGAATTCTACTACTCAAAACCCCTTAGAAAGGCATAGTGGAGGCTACGACACTGCTACACCGATCCGATAGCCCTTTATAATATGAATCACACAACACAGGGAAATCCGTCGGTTGCATTCGTGTAGTTCTGGTTGTGGTGCATTTGCCTTCGTAGTGTAATACCAGAGTTAAAAGATAGGGGTCGTCACTGAGTGGTTCACATCTCCAACGATCTTCGGGACTTGTAAACTACAGTACTAAGTTTCAAGAGACACTCAAGTCTTTTGCGGTAAGTTCACTTTATTCATTACGCTCTATATACTTAGTAGTACACAAAACATTTCCCCCGTAGTATGTGAAACAACATCGTCAAAGGCTCCGCGATGGAATAAACAAAACTATTAAACTAAAAGTTTCTCTCTGTACCATGAAATACTCTTGTAAGTACGACTTCAAAATTAAAAGAAATATTTGCTAACCTAAATCTAACTGAAAAATACAAGAATTGCGTTACTCGTGTTCTTTAACAGTTGTTCTTTAGAAATAGCATTTATTACAAACAACATGTGTGAAAAAGAAAATACAATGAAATGAGAGACTATGTACACAGTTATACTACATTCTACAACATACGTGTTACTAATTTTGTTGGGTTTGACTTCTTCTTTTGAGGCAGTGGGAGACGAATTTACCCACTTCTTCTATGTATATACAGGCTATGTTTTCATCTGTCAAAAACAGTCAATAACTACTAAAACGGTGTAGTTTTCGCCTCTATCGTAAGGGGCGCTCGTGTACCACTGTATAACATGGTGTCTATCTGAACAACCGTTCTATAAAAATCGCATATATACAGGCTATGTTTTTAACTGTCGAAGAGTCACATATAATACAGTAATTCTATAATGGTGTAGTTTCAGACTCGGCCGCGAGGGGCGCTCGTGCGCTGCCCCTGGAACAAGGTGTGCAGACGATATTACTCCTTATTATGTACACGACAAACCAGAGACAATGTGCTATGGGTGCCGCTACAAACGCAGCACCAAGACTGTACGCTACAGCCAGTCCCCAGCTATTATCATAATCTATAAAGACATACACCCAGGTTTCCCCATTCACACCCGTACCACCCATAGCCCAGTACACAACAAGCATTACGAAATACAGAGCTACCCAAACCATGGGGTAGATGCCGTGTAGAATTCTAACAGGCACTCCGGAGAAAATGAGTTCTATAAATAAGAAAGCGACGTTTAAGATGTATTTGTTGACGTCGATGACGAAGTCGATGGTTTGTTGGTTGGTTTCCCGGACCAAGGTCCAGTGTACCTGTAACGATGATGAATATTGTAATTAGGGTAATATGTAAATGACCATGTGGAAAGACTTGTTATAGAGAGCTATGCATATATTTGCCCGTTAGGTAGGCACTGATTGGTTGGTGAGAGCAATCAATCAGGTTAGGGACTATAATTTGTTAGCATAGTTGAAGAGACAATCGCTGTGTTAGTCAGTTGGTGACCGAGGACTCAGGTACGTGTACATGTGTTGTTGTAGCTCTGTAGATTAGTATTGTATAGCTGTTAGTACCTCATATGTGTAATCCTAGACCATTGGTAACTCTCCGTGTAACTAAGTGCTAAACTCCTTCCCGGTAACCATTAGACCACATCTACCTGTATTAGAGTTAACATACGGATCAATAAACCCGGCTCAGCAGAAGTAATCGAACTGTTTGGATCTCTCTCTATAGTAAGATACATAAGATACAGACGATAAGATACCAAACTACCACTAGATTTCAAATATTACGTACCACGGTCACCAACACGCTGGTAGCTGCCGTGGTGTTGTACAGGAGCCAGGCCAGCTTTAGGTACCACGGCAGGGTGCGCCGAAGTAAGGAGGTATAGGAGGAACCTGTGGTGAATGAATAAAAGAATGAATGAAGAAACGAATGAATGAATGAATGAATGGGTGGATGGATGAATTCGATATAATTCGTATAGCAAGGCAATCGTGGCTTAAATCCGGCCATATTGCTTCCGAACTTCAGCCAACCAGGGCAACCATTGTTGTTTGGTTGGTGGTTGGGGAAAGGTTCTGAATGTGTGAAAGGGGTTTTAGTGGTTTCGATTCTTGGGAAAGGTACTCCATACGTTTTTCTCACCTACCTGGTAAGTTATAGAAGACAGTGACGGTCGCCATGAGGACGAAGTAGCCAGCGATGAGCACAAACGTGAGGTTGGGCAGGTACAGCAGGACCTTCAATCAATCAATCAATCAATCAATCAATCAATCAATCGATCAATCGATCAATCGATCAATCGATCAATCGATCAATCGATCAATGCATCAATCAATACATCAATCAAAAATTGTTTATTAATAAAAGATATTGCAGCCAGACAGGCTGAATTGCGCCTTCTGTACATACATACATATTGTGTAGGACACAATATTTAAAACATAGTTTTAAAATAATACATAGTTTTAAAATAATACATAGTTTTAAAATAATACATAGTTTTAAAATAATACATAGTTTTAAAATAATACATAGTTTTAAAATAATACATAGTTTTAAAATAATACATAGTTTTAAAATAATACACAGTTTTAAAATAATACATAGTTTTAAAATGATACATAGTTTAAAAATAATACATTTTAAAATCATACATTAGTGTCAATTGCTCCTAATATCAGATAGCGTTCAGGATCCGTAACATCGATGGTGCAGGACTGACCTTGTACCGGTGGTCCAGACTCAGACCGTGGTACACGCCGTCAAAACACGTCACTCCGGCCAGGTACACCGCCACAAGCACCCGGTACGTCACAAACACAGCAGGGTGCCAGCTCCACTGGGAAGAGAGAAAAACTTGCTTGCACGACAATTGTAAAAAGAAGAATATATGGCAGCGACTATTGAACAAAGTACAAAAAGAAAATGGTATAAAATGAAAAATGATCCTTAGCGTTTTCTCTAGTAAAACAGTCTTTTATGTATTTATCTATTGACTGAAGTTTGGGAGCAGCCTGACCAGATTTAGGTCACGCTTACCTTTCCATACGAATCGAATTTGAGTTCCATTTTAGTCAAATTTCACTACCAATCAAGCCCCGATATACCCCCTAACACCAGCCATCAATGGCCGGATCGAACGTCAATGTTTTAAATATTTTGAAACGTTTAATTCGGCTGGCTCACTACCACCACCCGACCTACTGCTATCCATGGTTGTGAGGAGTTCTCACTAGTGTTCGGGAGGCCATATTCAGCTATGTGTGACAGGTTAACGAAGTTCGTGCATAAAAACAATTCTCACGACTTGTGTGTTTTGTTGTTTTGTAAAGAAGTACCAAGGTCGTGAGGAGGTTGTTAGTTCCCAACAGGTAATGATTTTAAGAAGTAAAAACGCTTATTATTTTACAATATATATACGTCTGTTAGAGGGACAGGAAGTGATCGGTAGACACATGTCATGTTTGTCAATACGTCTACCTTGTTTGCACAATCAATGAAATAAATTAAACAAGACATTACTCTAGATATTTTACGGAGGAATGAGTTCTTTAAACTTTTGTTTTTATTAAGATAGGCACAATGTGTGTTAAACTGTTGCTCATATATATTCACGTGTGCGTGTTCTTAATATATCAATTGTTGACTTTCCTTGCTTTGAACTCTTTAGACTGTTTGACAACATTAAGCTCACAAATCAATACAGAACTGCCACTAGTGAGCAAACAAAACGCCTCCCAACAAGAAACATTGATGTTTGAAAAAAAAAGAAGAAGAGAAACGGTGATTTTGGGAAGTTTCTTCACATCGGTCGTACGGCTTCTTCTCTTGTCGTACGATTCTAGCAAGACTATGATAGAACCGAATGCGGAGAAGGATCTACGACAACTACTGTGACCTTTTCCGGCCACAGGGGACAGCTGAATTACGTACGACGCATCTACGACTGTTCCAAAGAATTTGCCGTCGTAACTCTGTCGTAGGACAACAACCGTAACCCAAGATAACAGTAGAAGCCGTGCCTACCTGTGACTTGACGAAGACGTAAGGATTGTGGAAGTCCAGTCGTAAGTTGTCGAGTCTGAGCTCAGAACGGCAGGCCCGCACATCGCAGCCGCACCCCGCCATACTCACCTTTGGACAGGGACGCAGGGACTGGTCACGTGAAGTGCCGTCAACCTGTCCATACATGCTTTTTTTAACCTTTAGCACTAGCCTCCACCAGGCCTTTCTACGGGAATACGGATCGTAGAATTCGGCAAAAAAGAGAATCAAATTGGTCAAGAGAGTCCGGCCGCGGGGAGGTAGTTTCGTTCCCTCCGAACTGCGCGGCATAGTCCAACCCCAAGGCGGCCAAACTCCCCTGGTTATAGCCAGCGTAGTTAGTCTGGTAGAGACTACTTTAGCACACTGAAGGAGCCGTTTGGTTACCGATTCCCTATTGGTTGTGGCTTTACGACAAGGCGCGTTTCTATCCGGCAAACGGTCGTTGCTAGCCTCCTTCGAAGACTTCTGAGGTGGCGTTAACTTTTTTTTCGGGGAGCAACGCGAGTTATACCGCGGAGGGACGGTTTTGCCGCCGAGGGACTTTGCTGGGAAGAGACGGTTTCGCCGTCTAAGCTTGAGAAGGCCTCAGAAGTCTGCAAAGGAGGCTAGGTCGTTTCAATCTGAAATGGTCAATGCCTTATCATTGAATGGTGGGTGCCATATCCGAGCACATCGTAACTTTTTTGAGGGGAAAAAACATTTCAAACGTGTAAAATGCTACAATTCTACCTAAAGTACTACAAGCTATAACGTTGCTAATGCAGGCAAGTTTCACAATGTAATACATGTATTCCCACAAACATATGGTTTAGCATTGTTTTTGGAATCATTTATATATAGGATTTGTAATATATTGAAATGTTGATGTGTACCTTTTGGAATTGTTCTGGCCCGAATATCGGACCGAAATAAAAGGAGTGATTCTCAGAAACAGATCACTTAGTGACGTCCAGAAATTTGAGACACTGAGAATAAATGCGCTGGCCTTCATTGGTCATTCTTTTTTCTCATTTATTTTGGTATTCCATATGTCAGAAAAACAAATACTTTTATTGCAATGCCAAACAAAGTCTGAGAACTCACAAAAGACATTAAAAAGAGAACAAACGATATCATATTGGATAAAGACTTTATTAATAAAGTTTCAGTTCTTTAAGGCATTTTATTGCCTTATACACTTGTATGTACAGTTACATACAGAGAAAATTGTTTTGCATTTCAGCCAGACATGATTCTATAACCTTTGCTTGAACCTCTTTTTTCTGAAGTGCTTCTTTCAACTGCCACAAGTAGATAGTACAACAATTCCTTCACCTAAATTGGTTAATGAAATTGTGCACATTCAGAAATTCTATTCTATGAAAAAATGTGGTTGAGCTACGCCATTTTACAGGGCATAATAAGGCAGTTTGCAATATTGCCTGTTGCTTTCCATAATATTTCTTGTTCACGTTTGTGTTCCACTATGATAATCTCAAGTTGTAATTTAAGCTTTGCTTCAATAAGACACAATTTCTAGCTACATTGGCAAAAAAAGAAGATAATTTCACAACTTAGCTGTACAAGAAACATTGAGTGGCACCCATGAAATTGCATAGAATCAGTATTTAGAAACTTGCAGATATTTCAAAGTGTTTGTGATATAGTTCAGGTAGTTTGCTTTAACTAAACTAATCTAAACTAAACTAAATTAACTAAACTAAATGTGCCTTTAACTACTAACACCTTTGATTCAATTTTCAATATCATATTGGTGAGATGTACATAAAGTATTACACTAACTTCCAACAAAAAGTAATAGCTACTCTTATCAGAACTCAAAATACATTTTTGCAAGTCTGCAAACCTGTACTCTTATGTTCAGGTAACATTTATGATAGGAGAGTTAGAAACAGACACCACAGCATTAGGAAGTCATTTTCCCACCTGTTTACTGAAAAAACATACTAGTACATTGTCCTAGACAAAAAAACAGGCTTTTATAAAAGACGTCACTGAGATTACAATTTCTTCAAAGGGATTCTAAAAAAGGGACTTTTGAGAGAGACTACAGATTTTTGTCTCAACATTTCTTTCAGATCTGTATGAAAGTTTAAGCAGTTACTATCACTAGACCATCTACTTTTTTTTGTAAATGGAATAGCTAAGATATAAGCAGCAGTTTTAATTCATAATTTCAAAAAATCTAATCTCATAATATCAAAAAAGCTCCAAGGGCTGATTGCATTCTCACAATAAAGGCACCACTTTTTAAAACTGTAAGCACGTTCTATTGTCATTACAGTTTTTTTAATGTTAAAGGCACTAGTATGTTTAAAGCTGCCATTCTATCTGTAGTTACTTAGGCAAGAATGTATCTGGAAAAAAACTGAAGGCACTACAACTGATAGCCTTTTCTCGTATGCATGAGATCAATATAGTATTATCTTCTAATATACATGTACTTTAAATACTAATATAATAGTTTTCTATCTATGAACCCTGTCCCTGTGGCAAGGATATACCCTTAGCATTGTAAAGGTGAAGATTCAAAGAAATTTGCTGAAGTAACATTGTTCATGGTTGTTACTGGTAAGAAGTCTGATTGAGTGGGGTCAATGTCCTTGAGGTCACTTTCAACAAGCCATGATTGTATTTTGAAAAACTTAAACTGTTCTCCAACTCAAAATTTGACTCACCAGAAATTTTCGACTATTTCGAGCTATCTGACCCAAATGCTGTGGACATGTGATTTCGTCCCACGTTAATATAGTAGAATGTTTGAAGGTTTATGCTTCAGAAAACAGGAGGAAGGAATAGACTTTCTCTTAACTGCCCCACTTTGACTAGAAAATACACAAAAATAGCAAAATTTTACCCACAAAACTGGTAACTTTGAACAATAGAACGTCCCTTGAAGTTCATCCTTATTTGCTCTAAACGTGGCATCAAAAACAAACATAACCTCCACCAAAAAATTCCTTCTCGAAATACGAAGTATTGTAACAATTGTCATTTCAAATTTTAACAGACACTGCAGCTTTTAAATTCCACACATTTTCACTTTTATACTCAAATATCTGCAACTTTATACATTATAATGGACTGAAATAGAGCTATCAAAGTATAGTTCTTCTTTCCAACAGCTCAACTACACGAAGTGAAGTTTTGTTTTTTTTCAAAATAGTGGCCTCGGAATTTGAAAAAAAATGTATTTAAATCAACGGAGGTTAAAATTCTAGATTTTTGACCTCCTAGATTTAAGTATTCTCTTACTTCCATACCACATTTTTTTTACAAGTATACAGACCATCTTGTCTAGAAGTAAGTATGTTAAAAGAAAGCCAAACAAATCAACTATCAATTTCAGAAGTTTGTTTTACAACTTCTAGCATTTCTATCTTTAGCAGTCTTTTAGAGTAATATTTTCTAGTATTAGATTGAATGATAATTTCTGCTGTATTGTATTTCCAATGACAACAATTACCGGTACTGCAAACCGTTTTATAAACTCTTGGTTAGGCAGCGTGCAGAATACCTGGTTGCCTAGTTGCCCCGGGCAACCAAATCTTACTTGGGGCAACCTATTTTTGAACCTAGGTAGCCCTGTGTGCTACCTGAATTTTAAGAATGCCCCCCCCCCAAATCATGCCCACTTGGCTTGCACCACTGTATCCGGCAAATGCTTTTTAATTTTAGGTATTAATGGCTATTACTACATGTATCAGTTAACTAAAGGCTGTTAGAAATATTGTCAAAGCTTATGTATGTAACATTACTTAATTTGAGGAAGGTAGTAACTTATAGGTGGGGCAACCTAAAATTCTGATGGGCAACCTAATTTTTGCTGTAGGTTGTACACTGAGCAACCTGGTTCAAAAAAGTATTTTGTACACTGCTTAGAACACCTAGAAGCTGACACCACCGCGTTCTCTGGAGAAGCCCAGACGGCTCTGGTTGTGGATAAGCGACCAGAGGCTGGCGTAACTCTCTATCAGGATGGGTCCCTCCACCACGTTTAGAGCCGGCGAGTTTGGGCTCTGTGTGGCACGGACAGCCTGACTGCCCTGCACTAAGGCCACGTGGAACGTTTCAACCTGGAGAAAGAAACAAAAACATGAATTAACAAAAAAAAAACATCAATGAATCAATCAATTTATAGCTCAATTAATCAATTTACCAAGTAACAAAAACCAACAAACCATCCATCCATAAATCCATCCACCCGTCCATTCATCCATTTATCCATCCACCCACCCTTCTGTCCGTCCATCCATCCATCCATCCATCCATCCATCCATCCATCCATCCATCCATCCATCCATCCATCCATCCATCCATCCATCCATCCATCCATCCATCCATCCATCCATCCATCCATCCATCCATCCATCCATCCATCCATCCTCCATCCATCCAACCAACCAACCAACCAACCAACCAACCAACCAACCAACCAACCAACCAACCAACCAACCAACCAACCAACCAATCTAATAATTGATTGCAAACCAGCCAACCAACAGATCTTTTCAAGCCCTTTAGCACCAGAGAGCCACAATTACTGTTTCTCTAACTCTAAGTTACTTCAAAGGATAGTTCGATACCAAATAGACTGAAGTACAGTTACTGTAGCATTCATTCCACCACACTTTAGGGCTCCCACATGCTTTGAGAAACACATTATACTGGTAGATCCATGCAGATGTCTCCTTAGACTGGTCACTTTAAATGTCACTTTCAAAATTCCTGATATAGAATGTTAAGCAAGTTAGATACATGTAGCTCTTTATTCTATTTTCTCCGAGCTCAGGTTTTGGTTGTGAAATTTCTTTCATTGGGTAGAGGGAGGCCAATAGATTTGCCAGGCATCCATCCAGGAAAGCCATGTCACCAATCTTGTGCCTTTGGGAAAGGCCTTTCTCAAAGGCACAAGATTGGTGACATGGCAGGGTTCGAACGTGGGACCTCTTGGTTCCAATCCAAATGCTCTCCTGTTACGCCATGCCACATGACCCAACTGTCCGCAAATCAAATTGATGAAAACAGATAAAAAGTGACCAGTGTTAGAAAAACCCCAGGTGCATTAATCAAGTGAGAAGGTCCAAACTTGTGCTTGGCATTCCCATGCAGAGTTCCCGCGAAGATTTAGGCTCCGCAACCACCGCAGCACCACCCACATTAGGACTGTCACGCTACCTTCAGGGGCTCCAGTGTACTTACACGGTACACGTCCGGGTCTCGCAGGGTCCGCTCGATCAGCGGGTGGGAGGAGAAGATCGCGTAGGGGATGTCGCGGTTAAACGGGTTCCACTTCTGCACGGCTGTCGCCTCCTCGCGGCTCCAGTAAAGCTGGACTCCCGTACCTGCACGCCGGCTGGGGCGGACAAACGAAGGAATGAGTGAGTGAATCATGAAAGAAAGAATACAGTTGTATTAAGTCCTATAGGAGTTTTCTTTAAAGCCTTGGTCACAACCTGCCGTACATGCTTTTTGTCCATACGTTTTTTTTAAGGCCACGTCTGCTACGTTTTTCTGAAAACGTAGGGTGACCGGCCGAGGGAGTACGTCACTCGCACGTGAATCCGCAGACCGCACGCAGAAAAAGATTTACATGCACTTAAAGTTCTACGGCGTGTCTGAGTGCTCCCAAATCCGTAGGATTCCGTACGGAGGCGGTACTCACCACGCACGGATGCCCTACGTTTGCCCACGTTTTTGCACGTAGACAGCACGCAGAAGCACGTACGGCAGGTTGTGACCGAGTGCTGACATTTCCTTGTCTTCTTTTTCTTCCGTCTGATGCCCACAATCGTAGGGACGATTATTCTGGCATGTGGTCAGACACTGGTCATTGTCCTAAATCCACAGTCCGTATGTTACAGGGAGGGAGGGACAACATAAACAAACAAACAAACAAACAAACAGGACTATACTTACGGCATAAGAGAGTTTGGAGGGTACTCAAACGGTCCGATCTTCACGCTTGTCAAGTTCTTGAGGACGATGCGCTTGAAGGAGTGAATCTTTGAGGCAACGAAGTCGAAGAAGACGACAAGGAGACAGTTGTCTGTGAGCAGGACTAGTCGTTCCTTTTCACTATCCCAGTGGTCAATCCTGAAACACACAAAGTTGGTAAGTAGTAGTAGTAGAAGTAGAATGGTTTTTATTTCAATTTGAAACTCAAACATACACAATTCGCACTGACGACAGACTCGCACAAACCATACTGGATGCCTGAATTGCTCTGTGGTCACACAAAATATCATTAAAATATACTATCAAAAGGTATTATTGTTAAAAACATTATTGCACATTATTACACATTGTTAAAACTTATATAATAATAAAAGGCCATATCATTGAGCGACCAAAAATCTCATTAGGTTTAAGCAAATTTCTTAGATAATGAATTTGTTTTGTCTTTTTTTGTGTGTACATTTTGCTCCTGGTCTCCCAGACAAACACTTCTTACTTGAGAGAACTATTCTCAGAACCAATATAATAAGAGCTTAATTAATATGATCTGCTTGACAAATATATGTCTTTCGAAGGGTCAACCCCCCATAAGGCTAGGGTCAGCAGTTTTTTCTAGGGTCGTTCTGAAAACAGGAAACACAACATTTTTTTCAGATTCTTTGCTAGGCCTAACAGACAGTTCTCAGTCTGATAATTTAATTGGTCCAATTTTAGTTACTTCAACCATGGCCAGATTAAGATGTTTCTTTTAGTTCTCTTGACTTTAGATGTTGGCCAAAAAAGCTTCTACTAGTTGTGCCCTGACCAATAGAAGGGCTGGTACATGTAGAAGTGTGATTTTATTGGGCTAGTTGTATTCTAATAAGTCAGATACTCTTAAATATACAAATAGTCATAAAGTCAACAATCTCTGTCCAAGGGGTCTAAGATCTAGATTGTCTTACTAACACTATCCAAACTGTTACATGTACAGTACAGTTAAAGAAAAGTTAAAATATTTAAAATATCTGTTCAGACCAAGAACCTAGATTGTTGCAGCTTAACATCAGTAATTTCAAGAGTCTTAGGACAATTTGAAACTCCCTAGGGGAAAATGCATAACTGTGTTTATGTCTGAGAGAGTCATTATTTTGAATTATTAATAAGTTGCATAGTCACACACACACAGGGCAGTGTCATACAGAATAGACCTGTTACTGCCATTAGACAATTTTATTTCATGCTTGCCTTTTATTGAGCACTGCCACCAAAATTTACTTTTTGCTGCAGTTAAAAAGAACTTGAATAAAAAGCTGCCAGACTTACTCGGTGAGAAGCCAGGCTCCTCGTAGTGAACCATCAACATCAGGCAACACCACCTCAGACTTAGTCGTCTCTACTGCAAGGTCAAACGCACCAGGCTGAAGGTCAAAGAAAAATTCAATTAAGACTTCACATTTCATACACTTTAATAACCATCTTTGGCAAAAGTCATGCTTTTTAATATGATAAACAAAAGTATAGGTAACTTGAGGTATACATTCACACTAGTTACAAGCCATACATGTTCAATGTACTACTGGAGCAGATGCCACCTTGTTCCTGTTTAGCTACTAAAAGTCTACTATATATGACATTAGGGTAGCTTTCTCTCATGTTTTTCTAGCAGGTTCTTTTCACCATAGAATTAAGTGACACAGATGTACAGGTTTTTCAACTCATAATCTTTATCTAAAGCCACAGTGTCCCTCATTCAGAACCTTCCCTGAACCACCACAAACCAACCACAATTGGCTGAAATTTGGGTTCAAGCAATCTGACATACTTACAAATAAAATACAGAACCAAAGCTCCAAAAACACACTGTTTACCCCCCCCCCCAGCTGTATATACCTATACTCGCAAGATGTTTTCTTCACATCCAAGACACACATTATGTTCCAGTACAAGCACTAAAATTATACTTCTCTAGCCCTAGGGCTATGAAGTGTTGTCTTACATGTACACGTCAACAGAGAAATGAGCCAACACATAAATTGGAATACTGTACATAAATCATCAGGGCTTAAAATAACTTTTTCTGCAATTACTATCACCTGCTTTGCTGTAGATATTTTTACTAATATATTCAGGCTATCAATTAATCAATTCCCACAAAGTATTATTTCGTTCATAACATACAGTGGCACGAAATAGACTGGTCTACATTCAAGTAAGGCGTACACAAATTGTACATATATTATTACAGTGGATGACTATATTCTACATTTACATACATGTACAATATAGAAATTGACACCAAATAAAAGTATCACACCTAGCCCCTACAGTGCACATTGTATATCTAGTAAAGCCTCCAAATAATGTATAGACTACTATGATGTTATAATGTGACATTGTAACTGTTAGACAAGAATAGATATTACCCACACTGGAGTGGTGACTCATTCACTTCTGACCTTATTACAGAATCTATTTAGGCCATTGAACTTAGGCAATAAATATTTAATAACATGTTTGACAGCCTTTTCATTACAAAAGTGTTAGTAGGTATGGCATAATGTGGGGAAAGTTAGTACATGTACTTGTCCTAAGGGTCTAAATGGGTGGGGGGCACACTTGGCTTTGCTGTAGAGTTTAAACAGCGTTTTTTTTAATCTACGTGATTCGTAGCAAGACCGGTCCATGTAGAACATAATCACTGCATTCACTGTTAAGTAAAATTGGCACCTCAGTGAATTTAGGGTGAACCAAAGCCAACCTGTTGAATTCAACATAATGCATAGCCTAAGTTTCTTTCTGAATTTGACGTATTCTACCAATGATAGTACCCCCCCCCCCATACAGGCTCCCACATGGACGATGGAGGATAAGATTAGAATTAATAAAAGTTCTCAGTTCTCAGGTACTAGCATGTAATTAGATGCGAAATTTTACCACTTTCTGACTACATTCTATACTCAATTAGTGCAGTTCCATTACCAATAGTATAAAACTATAAAATGTGTAGCCATATTTTTGGCCAAAATGCCTTGTGAAGGGTGTTGTTACTCAGTGGTGTATAGTTCTATACATATATTATTTTGTAGATGTAGACAACTGTTAAAATTTGAATAGCCCAAATTTAAATTTGTATGGCCCATAGAACGTCCTTGCTATAAATAACAATTATGTAACGTTACATGTAACTACCTGTAACAACAAAAATTCCTTATTATTGTCAACCATTTTAATCTATCAAGTATTAACTGACAAATTTTGTTCACCTCTTCTAATCCAAACATGTAACTATAATCTTAATATATCTTTATGGTTGGCATAAGGCCATAACATATATAATCTGCCCCCCTCCCCTCATAATCACACAGTACGTTGTAGTGGGGGGGGGGCAGTCATAAGCATGTTTTGGGATCCTAAAAATGATATACAGACTACTTATTATATATATTTACAAATAGGCAAATATATCAAAGAATGTTTAGACCTTAGAACAAGTATTAGTTGACCCATCTATTGTTTTGTACGTAGGATAATAATTTTCGTTGTACCCATGTACATGTATATTTGTCTGTAAGTGTAACGTTTTATCTACATGTCTTAGACCTTACAAAGTCGCTGTACTTTTGTTGTGTCAATAAAGTTCTCTATTAAAAAGCAGAAGACAGCAACTATAAGAAGAAGTTTTGGCTCACCCTATAGGCGAAGAACCCCCTGGCGATGTTCTCGCTAATGTCCCCTCCACCTCCGATCTTCACGGGTTTGGTCTCGGGCGCGGCGGCGGTCGGACCCGCCGGACCAGCGAAGGACACCTCGGCCTCGGCTCCGTTGTACAACCTCGCGTCCGGCGGGGCTGTGTCAGGCCTGGTCAGCTCTAACTTCACCCCGGAGAGGTCCATGAGCCCGCCCTTCTCGTCGGCGAGGTTCTGTTCCATGTTTATCGCGGTTTGTTGGTCGGAACTCTCACTAGTTGTGGAGAGATCCTGGTCTTGTCTTCTGTAGTGAGCGTCCGCCATGTTGTTTTGGTGACGTCACGGGTACGTCGTGACGTCATGACGGTGCCACAAGGGGATACCGACAAGGAAAATAAACAATTTTTCGTATAATGACCTGTTTGATTTCTTTGTTTGACCCAATATGTTTGTTCAAAAGAAGCTCGAAACGCCTTCCATTGAGGTCATTAGGGAAAAGGCAAGGGTTAGTGAAAATGTTTTTATGCCCAACATTTCGGCGAACTGTTCTCTCAATGGACAAACTCCCTTGGCATGCCTATCTCTCTATTTGGCCGATTTCTACTTCTTTCCAGCCGCCTCCCCAAGCCTGGTAGAGGCTAGTAACTCACGAAAAAGCACCATGTTTCCGATTATCTTTTAAGTCGCCTGGCCGGAAGTGTACATGTCCTATTATCAAGCTTAAGGAATTATCTCCCATTCTTTAAAAGAAAATCCCTCAACGAATCTTTTTAAAGGCTTTAGTAGAATATTTGATGCATGCCGCATGATAAACCTATTATATCATGTCATATGGATGTGGAATTTAGGACAGAATATTAATCCAAGGTTACTGTCCAAAACTGTTGAAAGCTCCACAAAAAGTTTAGAAAGAATTACAGTTTACTTATGTTTGCAGCAAAATGGCGCCATGGCATAATGCATATGGCATGTGTAAAGTATTGTATCTAAGTAACGTTGTATCTATGTAATGTTACTTGTTGCATTTATGTAACATTACCTGCTGTATAGTATGTAACGTTACTTTATATATATATATATATATTCCGAAACATGCAATCACAAGACGTGGTGACGGCACACTCAAGTTTTTTCAACTTATATTAATGCCGCCACCAACACAGGGACAGCACAATACTCATTTACACCTGAGCGAAGTGAGAAAAGTGTAAAGTGCCTTTCCCAAGGGCACAAGATCGGTGGCATGTCAGGAGTCGAACCCGGGGCCTCTGGTTCCGAGTCGAGAACGCTGCCGCTACGCCACACGACCCCACGTTACTTGTTGTCCCCAAATGTATAATTGTTGACTTACGAATATCAGCCCAGCTTCCTGAAAGTCAGTGTAATGTACTGTTGCATTTGAAATAAAAATGTGTAACGCTGCACTTGCCAGATGCAAACGACATGATGTTTCACTTATATTAGCTTCCGATCTGACCAAGCCTTGCAGGCGACAAATGCAAAGCGATTAGCGAGAAATATACAATAATTGATGAAACAAGAATACAATTACAAATCTAAATACTAGTACTTTACAGAATTCTGAAATCTTCTATTTATTGTTTAATGTACTTAATTTTTTCTTCTCTGTTTATACGTATATCCGCGTTATACAAAGATGTCACACATAGATGCCAGTTATATCTACCTTTTTGTATTTATTTCTAGTTCCTTGTTGGACTCGTTTAGTCACTCTTTCTTTAGAATTAATTATATTTACGTTACCTTTTAACAAGTCCCAATATGCTAAACTGCATTGTCTGTGGAAGTCGATGTGGTATATGAACGTATGTAGAAGTTGCTCCACAGGTTGGGTCAGCCAGAAAACACCTATTATCAAATGCACGTACTCCTATATTTTCCCTTAGGGAACAGCTAGCTAGTAGACATCAATTCTTACCCAAATGTTAATTAATTATTGCAAGACGGAGATTTTTGTGTCTGTGTTGACCAACCGGAAGAACCACCCTTAGCGCAACCATGCCCCAACGTATCCCAGGAAGACTTACTTTATTCAGGCTAACCTCAGCTAATCCCTGCATATATCTACGGTTTGCCACGCCACAAATCCTTTGGCGACTATATTTTCATGACCTAAAGTCTTAGATTTCGAGCAGACTGATTAGTCTGAGTGTTACGAGACTGACTGGACTCTAGGGCGGATCTGGTAACATGCACATTCGTGGTGAATTCTAAACGACCGTCTAACATTTGCTGGAAATGTATTTTCATGAGCCTTAAGTCGAAAATTCCGAGAGTGCAACCCTTGTGAAGCCATTGCCGTTACGTCTTACAAGTCCGGACGTTCGTACTCTTGTTCTTGACTGAAGTTGCAGAGATGAACTTAGAGAAATTGTTTTCTTCGTTACGGCACGGGGACATTCGTCGATTTCCAAGCAGGCAATGACAGAAGCAGCCGCCGACAAGGACCAAAGACAACCTTTTCCGCCACAATCGGATAGATGGAATTTCGCAGGACACATATTCACGATTAAATACGACGATCTCAAGATGCATGTGACAATGCAAATGGATTTAACAGACGCAAGACGTATGTGACCGAGCAATTGGATACAACAAGTACGTATGTGTCATATATTGATGGTCATTTCTTTAAGACTACGATGGAGTAATGACTACGTACTTTCGTACCTACGTAATAGAGAATGTCGGTTGTTGTCGCAGTCAGGGTTACTACGTTGAGATGGTTTCGTGTCTAAAAAAGCCACCGGAAAACACTGAGGTTTTTTGCCCCAAAGACTTGTTAGAGATCAGCTTCGGTAAGATCAGTAGGCCAGTGGCAGTGACTTCACTGACTGGACCGGAAACTAACTGCGAAGTCATGATGAAATGTCCAGTAAACCAGCTGGTACCAAAACCCAGATCAAAGACAATGTGAACTGTCATAGAAGACCCAGCTGCACAAGACAGGAAAAACGTAATTGGATTTAATATTTGTGAGTACGGAAATAGTATAGGATGTAGCCGTGGACACTGCAAAGACTTATTGCCACTGCACTTGCGACATCAGGGATTGAGGCTCCGTACGCGTGTTTGTAACACCAAGACAGCAAGAGTGCCAATGATCATGCAGAGACGTCACAATCTCTTTTGATAATGGTGTCCCTGCTGAAGCCCATTGTAGTGGCACTACTGATTTTCATCCACGCTATTCTCTACGCTGGAGTGCTCTCTGCTTCTGTGCCAGGTTTGGGCGTTACAAAGCAGCAGGTTGGCGACAACACGAGCATTTCGAGCAACTCAACATCGCGGAACGTTTCATCCAAAATCTGTGACCCCTCCTCAGCTATCAACAACTCTGAGATAGCAGTAAACGTTACTTCTAACGTCTCCACATGTCTGTCCACTGTGGTAACGAATTTATCTTCCACCAACGAAGAGGATGGGTCAACCGGGATCTTGGTTTACCTTTCTGCTTGTGTAGGCACCTGGGCAGTGGTAGCAAACAGTCTCCCGCTAGCTGCCATCATCAAGCAAGAGCATCTCCAAACGCCAGCCTACATTCTCATGGCTAACCTGGCCGCAAGCGACGTCCTGACCGGGTTCTCGTCTCTCCTCTCGGCCGGCACGCGTGTGTATTTCGTACAGACCGCGACCTCACCTTCTGAAGCCCTGCTACGTTTCCGATTCACCATCCTGCTACTCTCAGGGATGTCCTCCGCTTACGGTCTGATGGCGCTAACGGCCGAGCGCTACTGGTTCATCGTTCACGGGATGACCTACGTCAACAACGTCACCAACGACAAGTGTAAGCTCGTGGCGGTTCTCGTGTGGGCGTGGTCACTACTGCTGGCGATTCTGCCCACCTTTGACTGGTACTGCGAAGGGCGTTTTGACGAAAGATGCATTCCACTGGGCGCAGGGTTGTCCTTCAACTACGCGGTCGTGGTCTTGGTGTTTATTTTCATCCCGATCGCGGCAATCATCTTCCTCAACATGGGGATACTCTGGTGCCTGTGGAAGCAGGTGAACGCCATCGCTGCACAAGAAGCCGCGGTGGGAGCCCAGCCCAGCACCAGCCGGAAGTCCGCCTTCACCGTCGTGCTCATCACCGTGGTGTTCCTGGTGGGATGGTTGCCTCTAGCGGTCAGGATGGCGCTGTTTACTCGGTACAACACTCCGATGTCCACAGTGCTGGTCTTCGTGGCCTTGAACTCTTCTTCGAACCCTGTGATCTACGGGTTTCGCCTGAAGGAAGTTCGTCGCGGCGTCGTGCGACTCTTCACCAACCATTAAACGGTGGAGTCAGTTTTGTCGTAGGCCGTCGTACGATTTTTGATGAAAAGTTTATTGCAAATTCTTGCCCGGAGGCTAATTGCAAATTTAACAAAACATAAAAGAACAATGAACTAGAGTATAAAGTAACTTAAGTCTACATGATAAAGGTAGCTATCTAGAACTATAACTATGTCTAAAACTATGTCTGAAGGGTTTGCATTCTCTTCTGTAAACCATGGAAGACGCAATGTCCCACCTTTTCCAAAATGTGTGAGTTTTGGGAAGTTAAGAGAAGAATAGTTTTTTCTTGGTCTGTAAGTTTAGAGAAATTCGGATAAATTGTAGAAGTTTGAATAGTCAATTCTTTTCGAGCGTTGTTATGGAATGAACAATGGTGTCATATTAGAATGTTCGTGCAGGCTGTGACAGAAGCAACTGCCGATAAGGATGTAAAACATCTGGGATTTCTCTGGACACATGCACGACTATCCCAAGATTGCCACAGATTTCAATCGTACAACGATCCCACGATAAATGTAACAGATTTCCTATATTCTTATATAATAGATAAGTTCCCCAGCTTTGGACATTTAAATGAATCAGAAATTTTTCATATTTCTTATGAAACTTGACAAACCATGTATCATAGTTCTATATACTCCTACATCTATAACTGCGTCAAGAAGCGAGAAGAAGTCGAACAATGTAAATAGTAGATCACATTAGTATGTATAGTTTAAGTACTAGTATCATTGCTGTATCCTTTTCCTTGTCTATTCATGACCTGTATGTACGTACTTAGCTTGTTAGAGCACAAACGTACAATAAAGGTCTTTCATTCATTCATTCTTAAATTATAAGTAGCCGGAACGATGGCCGAGAAAAAAAGCACGACTTAACATTAAGAACAACAGTGACAGACAAAAAAAATAATTTGGAAGCGGAATTCCAGAATACCATCGGCATCATGTCAATTTTACATTGAATTTCATAATCAAAGACTTGACTATAGATGGACATAAAAGCTGGCAAATACCAAAAGAATTGACGAAAGGAACACACCACAACAAGAAGAATCGCAGATTTCTAACTTACCTGAAGTGTTTTGGGTTTGTGTATATTTTAGGACCTGTAAAATGTAGAGAAAATGTATTGGACTGTATGATGTAACCTAATCGGGTAAGCACTCATGAATTCTTGCACATACTGGAATCAGCATCAGCACCTAGGACAGTGACATGAGTGTGGTAAAAGGTGTGCAGCACTTACGTTGATTAAGTTAGACATCTAGATAAGCATTAGGAAATTCAAACTCTACTACTGGATAAATTATAGAGCTAATTTCCGGGCGTTTCGAGTGACATCCACCACTCTTCTTAAGTGTCGCTAATGAAGAAGAGTGGTGGATCTCACTCGAAACGTCGGGAAATTATCTCCGTAATTTATCCAGCAGTAGAGTTTGAATTTCCTATGAGTGGGTGTGCAGCACTGTGCAGGTCAGAGAAAGCTAATGATGAAGACGAGGCTTTAAGGAAATAACACGAAAAGTATCCCTCTATAACAGGTGTTAATGTCATGTAAATTTTATAGTGAATTTTATTGTAAAATTTTATTTCTATTTACTACCGTATTTATGTTACGTTACTTAGAATTAGCCGCAAGTTAACAATAAACTTGTGTATAATCTAGAGGGTATTGTTATGTGTGTTATTTCAATTGATAATACTTTGTAGGTCGGATTGAATTAAATTGAGTCGGTGTGGCCTTATCAAGATCACTGGTCATGTTCTAGTAATCTCCAAGCAGATCCTAGGGTGGCAAAAGACGTTCTGGAACAATGGAACAAACGAACAAAGTGGTTCGGCAGTTGCTTGGTAACACAGAAGTCAACATTCGACTCAAGAAACAGTCGTTAACTGGACACGGCTGATGATTTACCTCCCTGTAAGGCACTGAAAAATAAGGTAAGTCGTGTGTCAGGTGTACTTATCATGCTGGATACACTAAGTAGCATAGAGTCTTAGATTTATTTACTTCTGAGTATACGTTAGAGAAATTACGGCATAGTTTCCTTTTCTTTCGTTTGACTCAATGTATATATGTTGAAAACGTAGGCTTTAAGGACAACCGTTTGAGTGTATGTGTGTTTGTATTGTGAGAGAGCGCGGACGTCTGTTTGTGTGTGTGTGTGTGCGTGCGTGAGCGCTAGCGTGTGTTTGTGTTAGTGTGTGTTTGTGTGTGTGTGTGTATGCGTGAGCGCTCGCTTATGTGTACGTGCATGCAGTCGATCAACTTACTTCATTTAATCAACAGAACGCACACTAAGAACGGGATCGGTCGTTCGATGTTCGAATGATAACTGCCACCGGTCCCGTTCGAAATAACGGCTGACGCGCACGGCTTGCGCCCGCTAGTTAGTTGCCTGTACGTTTCCAACAATCTCTCTCTTTCTCTCTGTCTATTTATCTCTCTTGCGCTCTCTCTCTCTCTCACACACACGGACACCCCTCCCCCCTCTCTCTCGCACACACACACACACACACACACACACACACACACACACACACACACACACACACACACACACACACACACACACACACACTTTCTCTCTCTCTCTCTCTCTCTCACACACA